AGGGGAAAAGCGGCGCGGGCCGAAGCTGCCCCCAAAGTCCAGAGATTCGGGCTGCGACAGGGAAAAAACCAGTCCCGGACCCCTCCCCGCACCTTGTTTAACGCCGAACAGAGCAATTCGAGTGGTTTTTGATAAGGTGAAGGAGTGAGGCGGGCGTTCCGTCACGGAGGGAATGGGTTTTCCACCGGGCAGAGGGGCCCACCCAGGCGGACAGTAGGAATGACCAAAAAAAATGGAGGTTTTACAACCTGCCCGTGATCAATAAATAAGGCAGCCTGCCGCATGCTGCAGTCGTGCAGTCAGTTCCTCCTTTTACCCATGTTTTTCATGTTTCATACAGCCTCTAACACATATAAACTGTATGTTCACATGTATTTTTCAGTGTAAAGGCCATATATGTATCAGTATCATGGCACACAAATAATCGTTAACTAGTGGTAATGCAGATAATGCAGAATAAAGGCAGCGAGCGAACTTTATGGACCCTACCTCCAGTGCAAACCGCTGCCATTAGCATTAGTGAGAAGGAAAGGACCAGGGGTCGCTACCACCGTTACTCATTTCTAGCGTTTGGTGCCAATTCTTAGAAAAGAAAGACATTACTGACACTTTTCAGTTCATTTACCATATCTGAAGGAGTGAAAAAATACGATCCGTGATGTCTACCTGCTGCTTCAGAGGCACAAAAAGAAGCTATTAGTCGTTTGGCTAACTGCTGTAAGATGAGTCTGTTGTGCGCACAGGAGACAGGTGAGCGATGCTGGGTAAGAGCCTTGAGTAGCCAGACTAGAGATTTGATGAAATGCTCCTATCATGATACTTTGCAGCTGGTGGAATAGGGAAGCTGGTCACTCGATCCTCTGCTATACCTGAACCTCATTGTTGCAGCTTGTAATAACTGAACATCCAGACCTCCGGTAAAGGTGCCTTTGAGGAAGGAATGATGTGACAAGAACCAACATTCAGAGCCAGAAATGGGCAACAAGCAAACCATTTTCACTCCAGAGCAACTGGATGCATATCAGGTATAAAACAAAGTAAATGGCTGTTTGGACAGAACATTGAATAATGGCAAGGGCTTTTCTAAAACAATCTCTTTTAAAAAATTATTAAGTAGGAGTACTAAATTATAGCAAAGATTTTAGTAGCATAGTTCGATTCTCATATTGAGAAGAAGGGTTATAAAATACTCCTAATTATATGCCAAAGAGAAAGCTTTAATGCTTGGCCACATATATTATGATATAACTTCATTCAAGTTGCTGTATGGGAAAAATTTGGGCCAATGCATGCTAAAAACTGTCATTACATATTATACCTTTTCTTTTTTCATAGGACTGCACGTTCTTTACAAGGAAAGAAATTCTGAGGTGAGTCTTGTGCATTTTGTGGGTAAAGGACAGAGATTGCTACAAAGACAGGTTACATACAGGGTGAGGTATTTTAAAAATAATTTTAAGATGGATTTACACAAATTTAAAGTGATGCCTTTGGGCACTCCGGCCATTTTTGTTGCTTTTTTAATGTACAAAACCTACGTTGTCCATCCTAAACTGAGCCACAATTCTAAATTTCATATTAAGGTACCAGTCTATCAGAAATAAATGTAACAAGTTATATTTTAGGGCATACTTTGCCAGTGACATCCATGTTCCCCTCACCTTGTTTTATGACAAATGCTTCAAAGTGTGCTGTTATTCTTTGGGATATTTGCCTGGTTTATTAAAACCTTGGTGATTGTGTCAAATTTTATTCACTTTTTTTTAATGTCTTCATGTAATTACTTATGCTGATACTCTAAAGAGCATTCTTCTCAAAGCTTTCACACGCCTCATCCAACGCTCTGTTTAATCTCTGGCCAAAGGATTTGATAAAGACAAGTTCAGTATTCTGTTTGTGAGGCGCTGAAGGTCTTCACTGCAAACCTCAACTTGTTCTCCTCTTGTAAAAAACACTCACCCCGACAGTAACGGACATAATATTGAAGCTGCATTTGCCTTTCCTTGGGCACACTGTCAGAAAGGGAAGTGTTCAGTTTCTGCATCTCTCAAGATGTTACCACAGTTTTTGCTAATTTCTCTGAAGGTCAGAGCACAAGTGACAATTTTATACAGAGCACGTCCCTCTGTAGAACTTTGGTATCTGTGTATGAGTTCTGCACACGATAAAATGGGAATGGTTCTGTCACAATTGAAATTTAAATCTGTCTCCACATAGTAAATAGGCCCGGAACCATAACTGTGTCATGAATAAGACATTTATTATTGATAAGGATCCCTTTTAAAATTCTGTCCTATTGTTTTGTTGATAACAGCTGTGAATGGGATCCTTACTCTGGCACGAGAAGCAAATAGCATGCTGAAAAGGTGGTGAACACATTCAAATTCTTATGCACATTTTCTGTCTCTTGAACCTCATTTCTTCAGAAACCCAGGAAGATAC